AAAAAAAGCCCTAGACCATTATAACTCCAAACTTTACAGTTGGCACAATGCATTGGGGCAGGTAGCGTTCTCCTGGCATCCACCAATCCCAGATTCGTCCGTTCGACTGCCAGATGGTGAAGTGTGATTCATCACTCCAGAGAACGCATTTCCACTGCTCCAGAGTACAATAGCGGCGAGCTTTACACCACTCCAGCCGACGCTTGACATTGCACATGGCGATCTTAGGCTTGTGTGCTGCTGCTCGGCCATGGAAACCCATTCTTGTGCTGACGTTGCTTCCAGAGGCAGCTTGGAACTCGTAGTGAGTGTTGCAACCGAGGACACTGAATATTTTTATGCGCTACGCGCTTCAGCACTCAACGGTCCCGTTCTGTGAGCTTGTGTGGCCTACCACTTTGTGTCTGAGCCATTGTTGCTCTTAGACGTTTCCACTTCACAATAACAGCACTTACAGTTGACCGGGGCAGCTCTAGCAGGGCAGAAATTTGACGAACTGACTTGTCGGAAAGGTGGCATCCTATGACGTTGAGTCACTGATCTCTTCAGTAAGGCCATTCTACTGCCAATGTTTGTCTATGGAGATCGCATGGCTGTGTGCTCGATTTTATACACGTCAGCAACGGGTGTGGCTGAAATAGCCGAATCCACTCATTTGAAGGGGTGTCCACATACTTTTGTATATATAGTGTAAAACATGCTTTTTAAATTCTGATTTTTCAGGGGGTGCTGCAGCAATCTCAGCACCCCTACTTCCTATGGTAGTGGGTGTAGAATACATAGAGAAACTTTGCTTACTTACTTAGAACCATCGCCCCATGAGGAGCATGTCATCAATGACGCCTCTCCAGCAGTCTTCTCCATTTCATTCCAGGAGTAGCCAATATTTCTGTGCTCCTCTTTGGTGTCACGTCTCCATGTGTTTTTGGCCATCCTCTCTTCCTTAACCTTCTCTAGAAGAAAGTGAAACATTTTCTTTATTTTCCTGCGAGTACACCACAAGAGAATGTCACCGAGTCGTCAATAATCAATACACTAAGTTATAGCCACAAGATAGCAGTATGACCCAAATCAATTACCTGAACTTGAACTGGGTGTGGGGTGAGTCCAGGAAAATTATTGCACTTTAAACTGATCACCAAAAACAACAGAACAAACATTTAAACTAATAATACAATTAATTTAGGTTGTTATTCATTTACAGTGGACAGTTAGGATAGTCTGGTCCAAGGCCACAGATTTGGCTACAAGATCAAATGAATACAGACATTTATTTTTCCAATAATTGTATTTATTTGACAGTTAAAAATAAGGTTGAAAATGAAATCAGCTTATAAATGTACACATCACTTGTAAAATAAGTTGTAGGCATATTTAATTATCAGCAATCTCATAATAAAATCACTTGTATTTTTCAAAATGACTTAATATACAGATCTTTATACATCTATATCCTTGTGGACGTCATCAAACACACAATTTGCATGTTTCTGCTTTGAGCTGTTGAGCAAGGGGGTGCCTCTTGATTCACCCCTGTGAAAACGCTTCATTAAAATGCAATGGCTTCTTTGTATCGGAGGTTCGAGAGGAAAACAAAGCAGTCTACATTGTGTCCTTTAGTAGTCCACAAAATAACTAAAATAAATATCCATGGCTATATGGCTTTGTACCAGCTTGCTTTAGTCCACTGTATAATTGAGTCCACCTGTTTACCATGACTAATATGACAACTATGGACACTACAGAAAGATACAAATGAAACTCCTGATCAAACACGTATTATGCATACAGTACATAAATATACTTGCACATGCTTACTAAAACAGAAAAACATAAGTGTCTGATTAATTGTCTGCATAAGGGATCATTCCTAGACACTTTATGAAAATGTCCAACTACAGTGATGGGAGCTTCACAGGTCTCAGAAGGAACAACAGGGAAGTCTCATTCTTCCCCTCTCCTCTGCTCCCCTGGCCTGGATCGAACCACGGCCCTTGTGTGATGTCATTGCTCTGTGATATCAGATTTGTCCTTACTGGTAGCATCGTGCAGATCCCTCACATTGATTACAGTGAGGTTTCTATTTTCGCTCTCATGTAGGGATTGTACTTTGATGTTAGACTGACATATCTTGTTACCGCTCTCATATGACTACAAATGACAATAGTTGAAGCCAACATTTGAGCCACATTCTGAGAAGTGTAACAACCCAGCTAACAGAACATGGGTCTCTGCTGTTTTACACAGCAGAGGTGAGATTGTAAAGAGGCTCTATTGCGAAGGTAGGGCTTCTTATGAGCCCAAATGATGTGCTAACCAATTCACACAAAGTACATGATTTTCATAGTGAGGACATCTCATTAAAATAAATATGTTGCCTTTTGAACACTTTTATAGAAGGGACAACATTTCAAAACAGAGACAAAGGCAATATGAAACTCTGGACAAGGTCAAAGAAAGTTGATTGTTCAATGACAAAGCAATCTGAACATAGCAGGCTCCTACGTGAAGTTCTGGTGTTTGAGAACCTTTACAATAGTCATAGCTAATGCTACGGTATATATGAAATATGGGAAGAATCAAGGTCTATTCTGTATTGCACATAAATACATTGTAAGTTGAGAGAAATACTTATTCAAGTTTGCATAAATGTTAACAAATATATTCCCAGCACAGTATAAATCAACTGTTTAAGCTACATGGATAAAGTTCAAATGATGCCTATGCAGACAAAAATAAAAACCTAAAAAGACAGCATAACCACGATGACAACAGCACAGTATAGGTATTTCCATCTCCAGCTTAACCATCCACCAACAAGTATAGTGTTTCTATGTTTTTTTTTAGGCCACATTAAGGGTAGAGGGGAATCGAACTTCACTAGCAGGGTGGTCCGTCTGGGAGTGCTCCTTAGGTTTGCTTCTTCACGATCTGGCCTGCAGTCAAATGAGTGAGCAGCAGCAGTTTGTTGGGAACCCTCCTGCAAAGACAGCCTCACCCCTCTATCATCCCTACAGAGTAGTTAGAAGATGCTTCTAACCACTGATACAGGGTCAGATAGCTTTCATCCCCCTAATGGTTAGGATTGGGGATCTGGTAATCCTCGATCTGTGGTTAAGGGAAACAACTCCTACCTCTTGCCATCTCCATGGCATCCCAGGCTCAGAGGCACACTGGGGCATCTAGTGCTCAGAGACAGTCAGCTTGGCCTTTGTTTGTGTGGGAGCAAGGGGCTGGATTATGGTCAGTGTGCTGAATGGACTAAGCTCTGGTCAGCTAACTTTACGGTGGGTTGGCTGGCTGGGGCTCAGCATCCGCTTCGACAGCCAGATACAGAGGGATCCGAAATCAACTTGACCACCCTGCTAGTGAAGTCTATAGGTCCTTCTAGTGAAGTCTCAGGTTATGGAGGGAGGGAGACCAAAGAGCTTAGAGACATGAAGGGTAAAGGAGCACATCAGGGGCAGTGAAGTGCCACCTAAGACAAACAAGCACGTTTCCCTCTTCCATTGAGTGTACAAAACATTGGAAACACCTGCGCTTTCCATGACAGACTGACCAGGTGAAAGCAATGACCCCTTATTGACGTCACCTTGTTAAATCCACTTCAAATCAGTGTAGATGAAGGGGAGGAGACGGGTTAAAGAAGGATTTCTTTAAGCCTCGAGACAATTGAGAGATGGATTGTGTATGTGTGCCATTCAGAAGGTGAATGTGCAAGACAAAAGATTTAAGTGCCTTTGAACGGGGTATGGTAGTAGGTGCCAGGCGCACCGGTTTGAGTGTGTCAAGAACTGCAACGCTGCTGGGGTTTTCACGCTCAACAGTTTCCTGTGTGTATCAAGAACGGTCTACCACCAAAAGGACATGAAGCCAATCTGAACAACTGTGGAAAGCATTGGAGTCAACATGGGCCAGCATCCCTGTGGAACACTTGCAGAGTCCATGCCCCGACGAATTGAGGCTGTTCTGAGGGAAAAAGGGGGTACAACTCAGTATTAGGAAGGTGTTTCTAATGTTTTGTACACTCAGTACAGTATTAAACAGAGAGGCTTTCTCCAATCATCTTCACTATAGCTCTGAAATGGTTAGCTTCACATTTCACCTCAGGATTGTAATGTGGCACAGCATACGAGGGCTGGGCTCTTTAAAATCACTCACTTTTCATGTACATAAAAAAATAGGGGTGGGGGACAACACGTGGAAAACATCCATGAAAACACCACAGTACATATGAACTTCAACAACTGATAGACAGATAATCGAAAAAGGCAGCAGTGTATTTATGATTTTTATAGATCTATGAAAAGATTATTCCTGAATCTAGAGACAGAAGGCTTTAGCAGTAAAACTAGAGATTTTGTTTTGTTTTTGTCCTTGAAGGCACACAAACTACTATGCAAGTATAATCAAGTGTGCAAAAAAAGCTTATTTAAGAGTAAGAATGAGAAAAATAGTTTGTATTTCACTTGAGGGAGGATCATAGTAGGAATCCATGCCAGAGTATCGGGCAGAAAAAGATGTGCTTTACAACCAATGCAAATGACTCTGCGATTTCTATTGGCACTTGGTTAACGTTAGTGCAGACGCAGACCCCTTGCACGTGCCATTCAGTTCACACCTGCAGTCTCACATCTGTAGGGCATTTCTGCTGTGATTTGGGTTGGGTCATTTTTGCAGGGGGAGGGTAGAGGGCTCAGAGGACAGTGTGACTCCAGAGTTAGTGTGGTGAGTGACACAGAGAAAACCCTTCTCAGAGTGAGTGGTCTGGTCTGGCTAGATCAATCAATTGACCAACCAACCCTCCCACAGAGAAGTCACACATTCAAAAATATATCACACTCTTCAAAATGGTAGACATTGAAAAGTCTCTCCCTTCTGTTCCCCCAAAAACACCTCTCCGTTTTAAAGCGCAGCGGTACAGCCATTATCCAGGGTTCCTCTTACCCAGTCCGGTCTCTTCATCACCCCTCCTCTTCACTCCTCCTCTCACCTGGGACCTAGTTAATGGGGGCCTGTGGGTTGACGATGACCTGGATGACAAAGTCCTTCTGGATCTTGGTGTCCTGCAGGCGGGTCTTGTCCGTGAGCAGCTTGCCCGAGAAGAACCAGCGCTGGTGGGCCGTGTCGATGTCCTCCTGGGCCTGCAGCTGCTTCTTCAGCTGCCCGATGGGGTCGGCCATGCTGGCGCTAAGGCGCAGGTCCTTGCCCGTGGAAAGGCGCACCTTGAGCTGGAACTCCTTCTTGGGGGCAGCGGTGGGCTCGGGGCTGTCACTGGGGTCCTCATCGCTGCGCTCGGAGATCAGGTTGACTGGAGGGGCCAGGCAGTAGACGGGCAACTGGTAGCGGTTACCCAGCTCGTCATAACACTCCGTTAGGGACCCTGGAACACACAAAGGAAAAACATGTTTGGTTGTTAAATGTGGTATTTCACAACTGCACAGGAAGTTGTCATGAATCAAAGAAACAATCTGATTTTATTATCAGGTTAACAGTTGTCCAAACAGAGCATGGTGTAATATTGCCATTGTTCCAAACCAAATGTACCGACAGTCTATTCAGGTTCCTCCTGTAACTCAGTTGGTAGAGCATTGCGCTTCCAACGCCATGGTTGTGGGTTCGATTCCCACGGGGGGCCAGTATGAAAAATTTATGCACTCACTAACTGTAAGTCGCTCTGGATAAGAGCGTCTGCTAAATGACTAAAATCTAAAATCAAACGTGCCCCCAGGTATCATAGCTTCCCCCATATCACAGTTCTGCAGTGTAATACTGGCTCCTTCACCATGGCATGAACCAGGTCTTGTCTGTGGTACTCACCGTGAGGCAGTGTGATGCTGGCTCCATCCACTATGGCCTGGGCCAGCTCGTGGTCGTTGCACTCCAGGGCCACAGTGGCCGCCTTCAGGGCGTCCCATATCTCCTTGCGTCCCTCGAAGGCCGGGGCCGTGTCCCAGAACTCATCCCTCTTACTGCGGAGCTGGCCCTCCGTCATGGGGTAGTCACTCTTCCACTTGTGCTTGTCCTTCTTGAGAGGCTCATTGCGACCTGCAGGGAGGAACAACAAAAATTACATTGTTATAAGGTGTATACTGTATTATTTAAAGGAATGTTTTTTACCCATGATCAACCTATAGACTATGTGCCACAATATTGTTACACAGTTTGCATTGAAACAGGTAGAGTTTAAGTCACTTACTCAGGCAATATACAGTATACTGGGTTGCATCCCATATAGGCTTGGGTGGTATACCGTATACACTGGGGTGGGGGGGGGGGGGGTGGGGGGGGGGGGGGGGGGGGGGGGGGGGGCATTGTGTGCACCGACGGTAATACCGTATACCCCGATACAGTACAGGAACAGTATGAAAATCTGCATACCGCCCAACCCTTGTGCCGATACCCATTATAGCCTACACATTACCAGGGTTTTTTCTGGATCAAAAGCGGCTTAGGTGGTGGGCGTGGCAGGGGGCGTGGCTGAATTTAACAACAGAAAATCCAGCAATTCTACAAATTTCTCCATGGAGCTGAGAGAAATGTTTGCAGTTTTAAAGCTAATTTCCTCTAATTCTATGCATTTTGCCATGGTTAATGCAGTGTTATTTTGCTCAAATAATCTATACTGTTAAATTCATTGTTTACAGAATGTTCTATTCGCCCTGACTGTCTAGCTTTTATTCTGGTGATTGTAACATGCAGACCACACCACTCGCGATGCAAAATACATTTACACATACATGTTTTTCAATCATTTCATCCAAACTGCTCATGCGCATCTGCATAGCCAGGCACTAAAATAGAACTTGGTTCTATTGTTGATGCTTGACGCGCTGCAAGTCTTGCCTCTCCCATCTCCTCATTAGTTTTTAGGAGCATATACCCACGTGGGTGATTGAAAGATGGACTGAGGTCCACACTCCAGTCCAGTTGGTGGTGGTAATGCACCTTAAAGTTGGTTGCCAACCGCCATATAACATCCAAGGAAGAAGAAGAAGACTGAAGGAGAGATTACTAGAAACAAGGTTTACCCTTTTATCTGTGGATTAATTGTCAGAGTAGAGGACCTTGTGCATTTCAGGTAAAATAACAACCCAATGTTTATATCCCAGGACAAATTAGCTACCAACAGCAAGCTAGCTAGCTAAATTGCATGAATGTTTCATGCATTTCAACCTGTCCCAAATTAAGTTGGTTCAGAGTACGTTTTGATATTTCAACCTGCGTGTCCTGATCGCATATGGATGGACAAAATCAACATGGTGCAATAGCGCACGCCCGGTCTAGTCATCATGTTAGTTCTCAAAGATTAGATTTTTAAAAATATATAGATTATCTTTTCTACATACCCTCATCGGTTTTAGTCGTTTTAAGTTCACACTGAAAGAGTTTTTCCATCCCGAAAACTGGGATTGTTTCTTTTTGCATTTACACGGTTTAGACTTATGCGACCCAAGAAAGCGCTTAGGCGGCCCACTCAAGGATTTCAATGGCAGAAAAATCTGGTTACACAATACAGTTAAGTCAAAGACACTATAGTATGAAGATAGGCAGAAACTGCTTCTCCAATAGAAATCCCTGATCACACTTGAAGGCGATGTCATGGTGACGTCGGCTAGTTAAGCTCATGCGCAGAAACACATCACCGGGTCGAATGGTGCAGGCCGTCAAATCAAAGGCACTCCTTCGATATAAAGTTGTTTTTGACTAAAATCACAACGTGTCAGTTTGTCACTTTCACAAGGTTGGAGTAATAACATGTTCAACTACTTAAGACGTTGGCTTGAATCCAGGTTTTGCATTTAGATTTTGAGAAAATGAACAACTAAGGAAGAATATGTCTCTTCTCTCATTGACTTCTCCAACCCCAAACCCCGGCCTGGTCTGCTTGGTATGTTTTGCAAGAATTCTCGGAAGTCTCATAATGTTGCCCCTCTGGGTTTATAAACTCTGTGGTTAAGTTATACATACTTGTTTTCAACAACTCCCAAAGTTAGATCCCAGGCAAGGGCATCCACATGTAATAAACATGTTAACATCTGGGTATGGGGGCATGGTGTACTTTGCACATCGCTGGCTATATAAATCTAGCACCTGATAGGGAATGTCTGCTGCATACAGTGCATTTGGAAAGTATTCAGACCCATTCACTTTTTCCAAATGTTGTTACGTTACAGCTTTCTTCTGAAATTGATTAAATTATCTACATACAATACCCTATAATGAAAAACCAAAAACAGGTTTAGACATTTTTGCAAATTTAATAAAAATAAACAGAAATAACATTTACATTTACGTCATTTAGCAGACGCTCTTATCCAAATAGGTGCATTCACCTTATAGCCAGTGGGATAACCACTTTACAATGTATTTTTTTTTTTTTGGGGGGGGGGGGGGGGGGGGGGGGTAGAAGGATTACTTTATCCTATCCCAGGTATTCCTTAAAGAGGTGGGGTTTCAAATGTCTCCGGAAGGTGGTGAGTGACTCCGCTGTCCTGGCGTCGTGAGGGAGCTTGTTCCACCATTGGGGTGCCAGAGCAGCGAACAGTTTTGACTGGGCTGAGCGGGAACTATGCTTCCGCAGAGGTAGGGGAGCCAGCAGGCCAGAGGTGGATGAATGCAGTGCCCTCGTTTGGGTGTAGGGACTGATCCGAGCCTGAAGGTACGGAGGTGCCGTTCCCCTCACAGCTCCGTAGGCAAGCACCATGGTCTTGTAGCAGCAAATAACCTTATTTACATAAGTATTCAGACCCTTTGCTATGAGACTCAATTGAGCTCAGGTGCATTCTGTTTCCATTGATCATCCTTGAGATGTTTCTACAACTTGATTGGAGTCCACCTGTGGTAAATTCAATTGATTGGACATGATCTGGAAAGGCACACACCTGTCTATATAAGGTCCCACAGTTGACAGTGCATGTCAGAGCAAAAACTAAGCCATGAAGTCAAAGGAATTGTCCGTAGCGCTCCGAGACAGGACTGTGTCGAGGCACAGATCTGGGGAAGGGTCCCAAAACATTTCTGCAGCATTGAAGATCAAAGAACACAGTGGCCTCCATCATTCTTAAATGAAAGAAGTTGGGAACCACCAAGACTCTTCCTAGAACTGTCCGCCTGGCCAAACTGAGCAATCGGGGGAGAAGAGCATTGGTCAAGGAGGTGACCAAGAACCCGATGGCCACTCTGACAGATCTTCAGAGTTCATCTGTGGAGATGGGAGAACTTTCCAGAAGGGCAACCATCTCTGCAGCACTCCACCAAATCAGGCCTTTATGGTAGATTGTCCAGACCGAAGCCACTCCTCAGTAAAAGGCACGACAGCCCGCTTAGAGTTTGCCAAAAGGCACCTAAAGGACTCTCAGACCATGAGAAACAAGATTATCTGGTCTGATGAAACGATTGAACTCTTTGGCCTGAATGCAAAGCGTCACGTCTGGAGGAAAGTTGGCACCATCCCTCCAGAGCGCTCAGGACCTCAGACTGGGGCGAAGGTTCACCTTCCAACAGGACAATGACCCTAAGCACACAGCCAAGACAACGCAGGAGTGGCTTCGGGACAAGTCTCTGAATGTCCTTGAGTTGCCCAGCCAGAGCCCGGACTTGAACCCAATCTAACATCTGGAGAGACCTGAAAATAGCTGTCCAGCGACGCTCCCCATCCACCTGACAGAGCTTAAGAGGATCTGCAGAGAAGAATGGGAGAAACTCCCCAAATACAGGCGTGCCAAGCTTGTAACATCATGCTTCAACAAAGTATTGAGTAAAGGGTCTGAATACTTAAGTAAATGTGATCAGTTTTTTATTATTAATACATTTGCAAACAAATCTAAAACCTGTTTTTGCTTTGTCATTATGGGGTATTGTGTGTAGATTGAGGGGGAAAAAACTATTTAATCAAATTTAGAACAAGGCTGTAACGTAACAAAAATGTGGAAAAAGTCACGGGGTCTGAATACTTTCCGAATGCACTATGTCTGGCCTGTCAAGTGTAGACGATTCTGGGAGACATGATAGGCCAAGGGGTGTCCCACATCACTTCTGCAAAGGCCCCAATTCAGACACTTTTACTTCCTCCAACTGTTGGCTGCAAGCGCTTTCTATTCCACATTTTCAAGTAGAATAGACTAGATAGTAGATAGCCTATTACCTAACAAGACTTCAATACCAGCAACCATTCATTTGATGAAGTCATTCATATTTATACAAAAACATTGATTTGAGGCAAGGTGAATAATACCTATTAAAATAATGTTTGAGGGGGCTTAGACAATGGGGGGCAGCCATTACCATGGGCAAAGCTAGAGCAAAAATGTTGTGGTGTCAATGCCTGGTATATCATGACGACATTATAATATGATATTCTATAGCTTCCGTACAATAAGGTCATAATACCATATTGCTTGGTGTACTAGACAAATGAAAACGCTAGAGCCCTTAAAACTGCCCTACAAAGATACTCTGGAAGCTGATCCATATTACGTTGCTCTGGCTATGCCACAGCCTGCCTTTGCAGCGTTAGTTAATCCATGGAGACTAATACACCTATAGCTATAATCCATTACTCGTCATCATCATAACAAAGTCATACCCTCTCTGCCAGAATCCGGGCAGCCAGGTGAGCAATAAAACACAGACCAGAGCAATCTAGGCTCTGTACATTTGCATGACAGCGCAAAGGAGGCATTCCGAGCATACATTGGAGTTGTTTGGACAATAACAGAGTGCCTGAATATTTCCCTTTCTGTGCCATTCCCGGTCCAGATTATATACACAGTGCAACAGAAGTTGCAACACACTAAATATGGGAGTTGTGCAATCCTATTCTCCAAACGTCTCACTTGGCACTGATACAACAGTTAATAAGACATGTACGGATTGTTTGGGCCTGCCCGTCTGGAGAAGTTATCCCTACATTGCCAGTGACCCCCCCCAAAACATATAATTAGAGCATGCAGACAGTACTGCACATGTACATCTGAAACATTTGCCATGCTTAGCATTGAATTAGCACTGCACACCTAATCGGGGCAGCCTTCCCAGGAAAAC